GGGGGGGGGGGGGTAAAGGGATCAAGAGGATTTTTTCTTCAAAATTTCGTAGTTCAGAGAGAAAGGTAACATATTCAATGTCAATCGATTTTAGCAAATTCCGTGTATGGTTTTTTTGTCTCTTTGGAGGTTGTCTTTCCCGTTTGTTTCTCTTAAGTTTGTCTTTCCGGAGGTTGTTTCTCTGAAATTTGTTTTTCCGTATTTTTTTTCCAAATTTGTCTTTTAGGAGTTTGTGTCTCCAAAATTGGTCTTTTCTATAACGTTTGTTTCTCCGGATTTATTTTCGGAGTTCGTTTCTCCAGAACTTGTCTTTCGGGTGTTTGTTTCTCCGGAATTTGACTTTCCGGAGTTCGTTTCTCCTGAATCTGTTTATCTGGAGTTCGTTTTATTGGAATCTGTTTTTCCGGAGTTAATTTCTTCGGAATTAGCTTGACATTGCCGCTAAAAATTTAAAATGGAAAAAAAAAATCCGAATTAATTCATTGATTGATGACTTTAAGAGACTCAAGGAGTAATTCCAAATTCAAATTAGACCTACATAAAAGGAATAATGAGGCGAAAATCTTTGTTTCTTATTCTCTAAAGTATGAATTCACAATGCATTTATTTTTAGAAAAGATTCATTCATTGAAAAAAATCAAGTTTTAAAGAGATAAAAAGGTCTTTCCCTCTATCAGACTATAAGGTGACAAGGGTACTGTTGTGAATCATACATGCCACTCTAAAGATAAAGAGTCGATGGAAATTAAGATGTGCAAATGTGTTCTGAATTTAGAGCTCATCTGTTGCTTTGTTTAAAAGATGAATTGCTAAATCAACCTAAATCGAAATTGCTCAGTTTAAAACATCTGTGAAACTCATAAAATCCTGCACATTTATGATTTAAACCTTTAAAATATTCTTATACTATTTTAAATCTTCAGACAGCAGACTGTTTTGGTGCACTTTTTATTATTTTATTATTTTATTGGATGATTTTTAAAAATAAACAATTTGAACTGAAGGCAATTCACTCATGGCTGAGTGTTCGATAATGGGATTATTTCATGGTAGCTCCAGGGAAGAAAATTAGAAATTGTTTAAAAGGACTGTAGCAGGCCTTCAATCTATAAATGTACATGTAAGATTCACAATGCTACCTTTTAAACCTCTAAATAAGCGGAACTAATTGTTTTCCATCTTAAAGTTGATAAAATTCAGTTAATGTTTCTCTAAGCAAAGAAAAGAAGAAAATTGACAAGATCTGTTGAAATTGATCTTATTCCTAAACTTCAGCCATTTTATTCATGATTTTGACATTTTTATGTTAAATTAGCAGAATTTTTAACTTAAAACGGGATAAATATCAATTATCATGTTTTGGAGAGTAAAAACAGAGGACAATGGAATTCTCGTCATTTTCTTTTTCGTTTCAAGGTGGTATTTAACTAAAGGAAAGCGTTATGAGTAAAATAGAGCCTAGCTTACTAGAGTAAAAAATGTGAAAAAATTAAAAACATGATAATTGATTAATAATCACGACTAGTTTTTCTCAAGGATATCATTTTTTTTTAAAGAGGAGTTTCAAAAAAGAATAATTTTAAAGTAAGTTGAAACAATTTTAAACTGCTGGAACCCATTTATAGTATTTTAGATGTGTTAGACGTTCTTTTTGTCATGCACTCCACTACAAATATATGTATTGAAACAAAATCAATAAATACCTTTTAAACAAAGTAAAAATAAATGTCAACAAATTTTTTTGAACATATTCCCCCCCTCTCAAAAAAACTTAAATTGCATCTCAGAAAAAGGTTTCGTCAACATAAAAAAATAATTTTTATAGGTTTAGCAGTTTCTGATGGACCAGGTTCGCCTGGCCACGCCCCCCCACATCAGCCAGGTTTGGGCGGGGATCCTGGTTCGCCAGGAGTGGACCCCCTACCTGCCCGCCCCCAACCAGCCAGGTCCCCCTACGAATGGATGAAACGCCCCTCTATAAACGGAAGACCTTGCAAGGAAGGGACTTCATCGCCAGATGGTGAATATAGCATTTTATTGGGAGGGGGTGTTATTTATCTTCAGAAAGTTATAATTGCCATAAAAACTATTAATCGGTTGTTTTTAGTTATTTTCATTTTTCTGTTTAATAGGTCGGACCCGGACCAAGGATAAATATAGAGTTGTATACAGTGATCATCAGAGATTAGAACTAGAAAAAGAATTTCATTACAGCAGGTAAATAATATTACATTATAGCAGGTAAATAATATTATATTATAGCAGGTAAATAAAATTGTATTATAGTAGATAAATAATATTATATTATAGCAGGTAAATAATGTTATACTATAGCAGGTAAATAGTATTATATTATAGCAGGTAAATAATATTATATTATAGTAGGTAAATAATATTCCATTATAGCTGGTAAATAATATTCCATTAAAGCTTTCAAATTATATTCCATTTATAGAGGTAAATTAAATTCTATGTAGCAGGTACATAATATGAAAGGTTATTTTAGATTTTTTTCATATGGGGCTTTCTGAAATCTAAGGAGTATCCTAGGGTTTCACATGCAATTTGCGCATTAAAAGAGCAAACGGCAAAACTGATCAAAGTTGAAAAAATTTCTTGCTGCAATCCATGCTAATAGTTTTGAGTGCATGCCTTGATGGGAAAATAATTTAATTCTTTGCTTGTCAGAAAAGGAGAGATTTTCGACTTAACGACATGCATCAGCCATCAAATCCAAATTCTCTATAACTATGTTACAATTAGGGTTTCCAATCGTAACTCCATTGCGCGGAATTGCGCTTAATGGTTTCATTGCGCGCAATTGCGCTATAATTGCGAAAAAGGAAGCAATTAAATATTCGCGGAATTGCGTTCAATATACTTAGATATATAACAATCCAATATACTTAGATATATAACAATTCGAAGAAAAGCTGAACTTGCCCAGGCTCTTAGTTTAACAGAAAGACAGGTGACCAAACCAAACCAAACCAAACCAAACCAAACCAAACCTAAACTAAACTAAACTAAACTAAACTAAACTAAACTAAACTAAACTAAACTAAACTAAACCAAACCAAACCAAAACTAAATGAAACTAAACTAAACTAAACCAATCTAAACCAGACTTAACAAAACTAGGTTAAACTGAACCAATATAAACAAAACAAAACTAAACAGAATTAAACTAAACTAAATCAAACCATACTAAACTAAAAAAAAACAAAAAAATACGAAAATAAGCAAAACCAAGCACAATCCATTATAAACCAAACGAAAAAAGTCAAATACAGATACGAAACAAGTTCAATTTATTTTTTCCAAAAAAATCATATAAATAAATATTTGAAATGATAATTTTTTAGGTTAAAATTTGGTTTCAAAATCGACGAGCTAAAGAAAGAAAACAGGTAGCAAAATGTTTTGTAAAAAAATCCAAATCAAATTTATTGTCAACAATCTAACGACACAAGAATAAATCTACTATTCTAGGTGAAAAAGAGAGATGAAATGATCCATAAAGATAAACTGGATCCACTATCAGTTCACCCCTCACACATGGTTGCCATGCAGCAGTTCAGTATGGGACCCATGGGACACATGCTGCATGGGATTAGCCATCTATAGACCATAAAATAATGCACATTAGAACCAGTGAATTTCAGTATTAAAGAAACCATAAAAAGCCTTGAACAGTCTAATTAATAGATATTTTTCTACAGTGAATTTATGCCTAAATGACCTTCCTGGAGATTAGAGGCTTTCAACATGAAAAAATCTCACTTTTTGTTTAATTCAAATAAATTTAGCCATCACGTGCACAAGTTACTCTTCACTTAACGAGTTGCTTTATTGCCCATGGTTCACGATGAGACCCATTAAACCTATAACTTAGGAAAAATTAAAAGAATTTCAATTGTCAATTTTCAATTTAAAAATTTATAATTTATAATTGCAAATTCTCTTTGCAATGATATAATTTATTTCTTATCAAAATAAAAAAATGTTATCTTTTTTTAATGACGTCGGTATAGATAAAGGTTTAGTGTGAATAATTGTGATTGAACATATAACATTTAATTGGATTGTCAACTTGAAATTGAATTGATAATGCCTGTTAGATCCAAACAAATATTGCAAGTTGATCATTTTAATTGTTTTGAAAACATTTTCACCATTTAAAAAGTTTTAAAAAAATGTTTGCTTTATGTAGTTTAAGCCGCATGGTCAGTTAAAACTTAAATCATAAGTAGCGGAAAAGTTTTGTTTGTAACATGTGGGCCTGCAAAATTATATAATTTTGAGATTTATTAATTTTAAAGAATTTATAGAAAGTGTTGAACTGAATAGTACTTTTCGCGATATCATTCAAAACAGAAAATACAAAATACTTAAAGTATTCAGACTTATAGAAAGGGTTTGTCGTGTTATTCTTTCAAAATGAAACGAAATATTAGGAACTTTCAGTAAAATTTAGACAATAAAAAATATGTTAAAATTTATTTATATTTCTAGTATCTCATTCTAAATTAAATTTATCATTCAAAAAGGAAAAATACCATATCATCAACATTGTCAACATCTCGTCTTTGAATTCTCATATTCACTGCTGATTTAAAGGTCTCACGCTCTCATGAAAAAATCTATGAGAGTTTGGCCAATTACTTTTTAAAAATCAAAGCTAATATCAAGTACTTTATAGTGCTATAATATACATGTATTGTAAAGGGCTGTAGGAAAGCATAAGTGAGTTAGAGCCTTAAGCAAAGTAGCACTTCAAAGTTGACCCTGTCTTAAAAGTTAATGAGACTTTTTATATGCAGCTGCTGAATCTATGTAATATTATTACAGTTACGCGATAGCATTCAGACGACATTTAAATATTAAGTTTTTGAAAATCTATTGGTTTTCTTTTGAGTTTTAACATTACTTCAGAAAATTGATTTATATACAGATAGGATTACCAATCGGAATTCCGTTGCACGGAATTGTGCAGAATTGCGCAAAATTTATATAGGGCTCGCAATTACACACAAGTAAAATCCACATGCGTTGGAAACCCTATAAACAGATAGTGCTTTAAATATTACAATTATTTATAGAAATATTATGTTTTTTTCTTTAAACATCTTTTCAAAGTGCAATAATGTGAATTCTGTGAAATACATAGCAAAAATGTAATCTCGTTTAAACAAATATATTTTAGAAAATTGCAAAACAAAATGTAAGATTAATTCACTAGGTATTTTAAGTTTATATGTAGCTTTAAAAATAAAGGGGAGGGATGAAGGATTTTGGCGCAATGAAATCAAAAGATGAAACCGGTTTGTTTTTATAAGTATAGGAAAATTAGCAACAAAATAAATTAACATGTTAAAGATGTGATGCACATTATCCATTTTCAAGTAATTTGTATTGTAAAACTTTTTTACCTTTGGCTATAAAATTTTTTTAAAAAATTTACAGTGAGAACTTGAAAACTCTAGAATAGAAAACAACGACTTTTAAGCTAAAGCTATGAATATATGTAGTTCAATGAACATGAGACACAGTAATTGTCCAGTGTAAGCAGACCCATTTCGCTCAAAAAGTGAAAAGATAATACTACAGTAAAACTTTTTTCTTTGTGACATCATCAAATACACTTAATTATAGCTTTAATGCCGTCTTCCTATTCCATAGGTTTCTGGTTCTCACTGTACAATTGTCTATTTTTACTTACACCTACACCTTTAGGATTAGGGGCGTATTCAGGGGGGGGCTATGGGGGCTAAGCCCCCCGTGTACCAGTGAAATCTATTGATTTCAGGGGGTTTTTAGGCCCCAACGGATGCTGAGCCCCCCCCCTGGAAAGATAAAAAAATTTAAGCCCCCCCCGGACAAATTCCTGAATACGCCCCTGTTTAAGAGTAATCACAATTTGATATCTGGAAAGTGCTGTAGAGCTGAGAGTATAGAAATGCGTCGAAAGATAATCAATGACTGTAGGTTGTAATATCTGAATGATTTGTTTGAAATTAAATGGATTTTTTTACGATCCCAGTCGTATGATGCAACTTTCTCAATTTGTATGGACGTTACGTTCTTCAGTATAAGTCGTTTTTAACAATTTTCTCCTTATAGACGCAACAGATAGAAGTAAGATTAGTAGCGATCAAAAGCGCTTATTTTTCGCCGTAAGCCTATACCCCCTTTTAATTTTCGCGAACACTCCCTTTAAGGGCGTGTTACAAATGTCTTTCTCTAGGTCTCTGTACTTTGTTTCATAAATCCCATTAATGTTCTCTCTCTATTTTATGTATATAGATATATCTCTCAGAGTATGAATGAATGTGATTTATCAGCTTTTCATTTTATTGATCTAATAGATCTGTTTAAGGTTATTCTTGTTGAATTAGTTTGCTATAGTATCTGCTCCAGATCAGTATCTGTCTGAGCAGCTCCCTCGATCTCAATATCTTGTTTTAGCTGCTCCAGTTTAGTATCTATCTAGGCAGCTTCCTCAACTCGATACTTTGTTTAGTTGCTCCAGTTCAGTATATCTTAAAATGCAATCTTAGCTGCTTCCAGAGTCCCCGCTACTTTAGCTGCTCCTACAATATGGTATGCTTCCACTACATTCACAGCTGCTTCCTTTATTACCGAAGCTGCTCCTAGAGGCTCTGCTTTGTTAGCTGTTCATTACCAGAGCTGCTCCTAGAGTCTCTGCGACTTAAGCTGCTGCTCCAATCCGAGATGCTTCTACTGTATTTTCAGCGGCTTCCTTACCTAACGGAGCTGCTACTGAAGTCCCTGCTATGTTAACTTCTCTTCCAATCTGAGATGCTTTTACTGTGTTCTAAGCTGCTTCCTTTGCTGTACTCACAACAGGTCTGTGAATAGCTGCTCTACATTGAGCGGCGTCTTCGTATTCAGAATCCTCTGGAGAGTATAGAGTAGCCTCTGATGTACTGGCGGGGTAATCTAGTTCTCCTCTGTGTGAAAACTCTATCTGCTCCAAGTCTCTATAGTAGCTCTGTTCATAGAACCCGCTGGAGAATATATCTTGGTCTGTGGTTGGACTGGCTGGTCCGTAGTTGGACTTGTTTGTGCTGGATATCCTAGCTATCCTATGTGTCCTAGAAGTCCTAGTTCTACTATGTGTCTTGTAAGTCTTAGTTCTCCTAGGAGTGTCCTGCAGCAATTTCTACAATAGAAATGTGAAGAGTTGTCTATAAAGATCAGCGTCTCTTGTCACAAGATTATCGTATTCTTCTATAATGGGTAAGGTATGTTGAGAGCTGGTTTAGCTTCTGCTCTTGGAGTCATATGTCTTGACCGATCCTTTTAGCTGTTCTAGATTTATGAAAATCTGTCTGTAAAGTTCAGCGTCTCCTGTCCCAAAGTTATCTTGGTTGCTTCTACGACAGATATGTTTAAGGGTGTCTGTGAAGAGCAGAGTCTCAAATATTAAGTTTAACTTCTGCTCCTGGAGTCCAAATTCTGACTGGATCTTCTAGCTGCTCCAGATATTTGAAGAGCTGTCTGTAAAGATCAGCGTCTCTAATATAAGGATGAGGCAGCATCTCAGCATCTGATATCTTGGTTATCCTATTTCTCCTCTGTATCTTGGAGATCCTAGTTTCTCTCTGTATCCAGGATATCCCAGTGGGTAGTTCAGACGCAGGAGATGAATCTCTTGATGAGGTCCACAAGCGAGTAATGTGAACCCGTGTGTTTGTCTCTCCTGAACCAGCTGGAGAGTAAAGAGCGTCATCTGATATCCTCAGTGATGTTGAGGACTACGAGGATGTATAATCCAGTATAAAGATAAGGAAGGAGGCCAGTATCGTCCTTAGTTCTCTGGTAGGCATGTTAACGATCTATCTATTAGCTGTCTGTTAACTGTCTATTGTGCCCCCCAGCCTTTCTATACAAAAGAGAGATTAAACTCTACGTCTGTATTCTTGAAAGATCTGGGGAGCACTGTCCAATCTTCAGGTTCTATATTATGGTTTGATTCAAGAAACAAAAATATAAAGGGGCAAGGCTGGGGGGGGGGGAGTTTGGTATGAGTAACAAATGCTTTAAATCAATAGCTTATATAGAACTTTGCAGCTAATTTGCATACATATCTAATGTTCTTATTTTAAACCAAACAAATTAATTGTTTTCTATTACTGATTTTATGGTGGGCCTCTGGTTAGCCGAGAAAAACTAGCATGAATTTGTATTCAACATCTTTTTCTAAAGATTAACCCTAATGTTTCGAATGTTGGCTCGCTGCTTCACTTTTTATAGGTTATATACGATTTTATATATTTTTTTCGTGACACTCGTCAGCCTTTAAGCCATTTTTCTCTGTCCTATTTGCTAAAAACTATAAGTCAAAAAAGTGTTGGGGTGATGTAAGCAAAATGAATGCGTTAAAAAAAATATTGAGCGGCACCAATGCCCCAACATTTGCACCAATGCCGCAACATTTGGGGTTTATTTTGACTTTATAGTTGTGAATCAGTAACCAAGTTCATTGTTAATTGTACAGATACATATATTTCAAGCAATGTTTTAACAATATAAACTTCCCGTCAGAACATTTGTAGGAAAATGTACGCTAGATTCTGACGTGTGTATTTAGCTTAGTCAACTACACTGATCATTGTTATTAGGTGCAGTACATGGAAAGGGATAAACTTATCTTGTCTTAAAAGAATTTTCTTTTTTCTTCTATTAAAAGCGTGGGTTTGGATTTAAGTATATTAAATTAGATCTGTTTTTCATGCAACAAACTTTTTACATTATTAATAGTGTGTAATGTGTATATATGCTTACACAACTTGTAAACTCCTTAAATATTAAAATTGAAAAACACAAAATCACTGATCCACAAAAGTAAACATGAATTATGATATTTTTAATCAGTCTCCTCTCTACCTCAATTCTAACTCTATTCAAATTTTGACAAATATTAATTATATTAAATAAATTTTCCTCCATTCTCTTCCTTCTTTACAAATACTAATTCCTTTCCCTTGAGATCTTATTCCCGTGCATCTACAAAAATAATCCCTCAAAAACCTTTTCAGCTCAAAATACCCCTCTATCTTTTTTCTTCATCTGTGACAATTTCCGGTTATTTTCCCCTCCAATTCCGTTTTGTTGAAGGGAGTGGCCGGCAATCTATGGTAGTTGAACTGAGAATGTAGTAGAGTTTTTTTTAGGATTCATTTGAGACATGTTATACTTTTAATGATGTACAGATACTGAGTTTGAGCGCAAAGTCGATGTTTAAAATCATCCAGTTTGGTGGTTACGTTAAGAATTGATTTTTTTAAAATTATTAAATAACGATTACCAAAAATGTTTTTAAAAAATCTACAATAAACTGATGGTTTAAATAGAAACAGGTTGAGAAAATAAAAAGTAGCTCCGATCATCAAAAATAAATAATCGTACTTAGCTATTTGTTTCTGTAATGGCTCATTGTTTACAAACGTTTTCTGTAGATTTCCTTAAACTTTTATTGAAAAGACGATATTTGAAGAAATTGTTTCCAGCCTTTCTAAGTCCAGTTCCTTCTTATTCCAAATCCTTGTTTCCTGTCCTTCTTATTCCAGTTCCTTGTTTCCTGTACTTCTTATTCCAGTTCCTTGTTTCCAGTCCTTCTAATTCCAGTTCCTTGTTTCCTGTCCTTCTTATTCCAGTTCCTTGTTTCCTGTTCTTCTTATTCCAGTTCCTTGTTTCCAGTCCTTTTTATTACAGTTCCGTCCTTTTTATTCCAGTTCCTTGTTTCCGGTCCTTTTTATTCCAGTTCCTTGTTTCCTGTCCTTTTTATTCCAGTTCCTTGTTTCCGGTCCTTTTTATTCCAGTTCCTTAATTCAGTCCTTCTTATTCCAGTTCCTTGTTTCCTGTCCTTCTTATTACAGTTCCTTGTTTCCTGTCCTTCTTATTCCAGTTACTTGTTTCCGGTCCTTTTTTATTCCAGTTCTTCTTATTTCTGTTCAAATTACCCATAAATTCCTTTTCTTAGATAAAGAATAGAAGAGAGAAGAGAACGTATTTTAATAATTAAATATTAGAATGGAGGAAATTTATTCTTTTACTTTTTATATAGCATTACAGGGTTTATGAATTATAAAAACGGAAATATCATTAACTGAATAAACTGTTTAGTTCTTTGCTAAGAACAAACGAATTTATGAAAAGTTAGTCATTCGGATGATTTTATCTAACCGTTAACGTTGAAAAAGTCTGAAATGCAGTCATAAAAAATTATTCAGAAAACCAACAAATGATGCAATATTATTTATATACGTAAGGGGGGGGGGCGGGAGAATCACTTAATTTGCGCTCAAGCGAGCGGGGGAAGGCAGGCGGCCATGAACCACCACTATTTCCCATTCCGTGCCACATATTAGGGTTTTTCTCTTCCGGCAGACATGAGCCACCACTATTTCCAATTCCGTACCACTACATTTGACGGGTCAGTAACATTTCATCTAGTACACTTTCGTCTAATAACATTTGGTCTAGTAACGTTTGGTCTAAGTAACATTTGGTCTAAGTAACATTTGGTCTAAGCAACATTTCGTCTAAGTAACATTTCGACTAAGTAACATTTTGTCTAAGTAACATTTTGTCTAAGTAACATTTGGTTTAAGTAACATTTGGTCTAAGTAAATTTTAGTAACTTTTCCTGGAGAACTGCCTTCGCTGTAGTAGAGCTTGACGGCTTAGACATTTCCTTGATGATCTCCTGCTCATACTTCTTAGCCATCTTTTTTAAGAGCTGATTCCCATGGCTATGCTCTGGCAGGTCGAAGGAGCAAAGATCTTATGTTGAGATTCTGGTAGTAAGTCGGGCAGAACAAGATCTAATGGCACACCTTCAATAATTTTGTGTTGTAGAAAAGTTGTTTAAAGTGTACCTGTGATGGTATTTGTCAATCACAACCGGTTTTCCCCTGGAACTAGTTGAGTAGCTAATTAATCCTGCCATTGAGTTCCTCTCAGTTCAACGTGTTTTAAAAGAGTGGAGAATTTCTCCTTTACAAATTACGGATTTCTTGATTTTGTTTCACGGGTTTTCTCCTTTTTTTGCAGTGTATATATAAAATCACTTCACATTTTTTTCAGACCAAATTACTTACTAAAAGCTACTTAAACCAAAAGTTACTTAGACGAAATGTTACTTAGACAAAATGTTACTTAGACAAAATGTTACTTAGACCAAATGTTACTTAGACCAAATGTTACTTAGACCAAATGTTACTTAGACCAAAGGTTACTAGACAAAAATGAACTAGACAAAAATGAACTAGACAAAAGTGAACTTAGACGAAAGTGTACTAGACGAAATGTTACTGAGCCCATTTGACTCTTCCGGGCAAAACTACTTTCTTAAATGGTATATTTAGGGCCTTTAAAGTGTGATTTTAAAAAATCCAGCCGCGTCACTCAAAAAAGCACAACTCAAACTATTTTTTCCATGCTACTTAAGATTAATATTTTGTGTGATGAATTCTTAAACTGTTTTACAATGAAATTTTTGACAAATTTGACTAAGTATTGCATCTTGAAATATCACAAAGTCTAATGATTATTCAATTAATGACTCATTACACTAAATCCATCTTAAAATCACTCATTAACCAACTCCCCCATCATCCAATCACCTCAAAACTCACTCACTCACCTCATATCACTCATTCAGTCTTTTCAGCACTCCCTCACCTCATTTTTAAAATTGATATTGCTCTTAAAAATAAGCCATTTTTTATGAAAATCAGAATTTAGATTTGCAAAAAAAAAGTTTTACAGTTTACATTAAGAGAAATCATCCTTATTACATATTAACACTGAAATATTAAGATCTAAATATTTATGTATTGAGTGACGCGGCTGGACTTTTGAAAATCACACTTTAAAAGCCCTAAATATACCATTTAAAAAAGTAGTTTTGCCCAGAAGAGCAAAATGTGGTGGTACGGAAGGAGAAATAGTGGTGGCTCATGGCTGCCGGAAGAGAAAAAAGCTAATATGTGGCACGGAAGGGGAATTAGTGGTGGCTCATGGTTGGCTGCCTTCCCCCGCTCCTCAAGCTCCCTTTAAAACAGTGTACAAATTCTTCTGCTATTGAATGAATTATTGTACGTACGGTTAGTTAAAGACAATTATGAGAAATGAGATACTATGGTTTTATTTTAAATACATCAAAATATATTTAGTAGATTCCAAGACGAATTGAAAATATTAAGATTTTAAAGAATGAATAAATATTTTCTATTTTATTTGCATTATTTGAACAGAAAATCAAATATTTGTTAGTACACAATTACATCAGCGAATCACAGGGGTGCCACAATCCTAAAAAAAATGAATTTTTTAAAAAAAATTCAGGAATCGTTATTTTTTTTTTTTTAAATAGCCTAACTTAATAAGTTCTTTTATGTTTTTTCTGTAAAGATCTAACATTAAATTTGAATTAAAATGATTGCTTGCGATCTAATTTTTTTAAAACTTTTCAACATAAATCTCAAAATGAAAAGATTAGACTTAAATAAAACCTTCCACGTATTTATCCTAGAAAAGTTTTAAGTTTCTAAAACAGTTGATCATTTTTTATTCAAATCGATCGAAAACCCTGGCGATAATAATTCCCCCCCCCCTTGTACTTTTTAATTTAATTCAACCACAAGCATATTATAACTATTGAATTAAAGTCACTTAGACACTTAGAGGTCTAAAATTCAACGACAAGCATATTATAACTATTAAATTGAAGTCACTCAGAGGTCTAAAATTCAAACACAAGCATATTATAACTATTAAATTGAAGTCACTTAGAGGTCTAAAATGTTCAAAAATAGGTTGGCCTTGAAAATATATCATTACAAACCAAAATACTATAGAGAGGCACCCCTAACCCCATGCATTGTATAATTAGACAACCGAAAAGTCGTATTACCAAAGAAGGAACTTTATGTACAGGGTGTCCCACGAAACATAAAAGTATCAAGACAATATAAGGGTCGTCTTTAATCTTTGAAATAATTTGCGACATTTATTTGTTAATTTAATCTTAAAGTAAAATTATAGAGTTAATAAAAGTCATAGATAAATAAATAAACATAGATAGCTTATGTACGCAAAATAACCAAGAATTGTACAGTCCGCGAATTCATACTTCTAGAGGTCAAAGTATACTTCAATGATAAGCGGGGTGGTTTGGTGTTTTAATGGATTTCGATCATAATAATTAAACCACTCAGGAGTGAATTTTATTTCACTGAGCAATATACAGGGTGTCCCAATAAACATGGGAATTCAGTGACGAATTCGATATCGTCTTTTCAAATAATTCTTTGATTTATTATAGTGATACCTACTGAGAAAGCTGTAATTTGTAAGAGTTTCGTCTGCTATGTTCACATTTTGTTTGTTTATGTTTTGACTGCATACGGTTGTAAAACAAGAAAATTGCAGTATACAAACAGAGTAAACTTGTCCGTCTACACTTTTCATCCTGCGGAGACATTATAGACACATCTTTGCAGTCTTTTACCCTTTTCATAAAATGAACTCTAGCAGACATAATAATATTATGGCTTTTGAAATTAGGTATTACAATGCTAATTCATAACAAAGACGATATCGAATTCGTCACTGAATTCCCATGTTTTTTGGGACACCCTGTATCATATTGACAAGAACTGAAGAAGGACATGAGAAAAACTAAACCAACTTAAATTTCTCTCTACAAAACTCATGTACACCACAAGTACTCAATGAAATAAGAACAGCCAATGTTCACAACCAACCTAGTTAATCTATATAATAGGAATATCTTTAAAACATCTCTGTACATTTACATCTTTCAAGATGAAAAATGACGTCTTATGCGCAATCTATCTTTATCTATGATAATATCAAAATATCCCTGATCTTGGCTTCTCCAAAATGTGGTCTGCTGTTTTGTCCTTTCAATATTACCAAAATTCTATATATCCCAGCACAAAAAGGTAGACGACATTTTGGAAATTTCGTTTCAAAAATCTTACTTGTTAAAACAGATTTACGACTGAATGTCACAAATAAATTCAACGCCAAAGACGACTTAGAATTTGTCTTGCTATACCGTTATATTTTGTGGGACACCCTGTAGGTAAATTTAAGAACCATAGTTCATCCAAAAGGATCAATAAAAAATTATTATTTATAAAAAAGAGTTATTAGCGTTTTAAGCTCTAAATATCAAATACCAAATTTGATATCTAAATATATGATATTTATATTTTGTTAGTAATAATATCAATGGCACGCAGATCCTGGTTAAAAGATCAAAGGTTCTTTTGACTTCAGATCCCATTTTTATCCATTACATGTAGACTTTTCGTATTTGCTATTGCATACTTTATGGTTTTGTTGAAAGATCAAAATATAAATATTCCTATACAGAAAGGTTCCAATACGCGTGGTAATATAATCATTCGACATCATTAACATTCATTTTTTTATATATGTATACTTTATAACACATTCGTAAACCAATTTTTCAAATAAATAAAGCTCAAGAATGTCCCCGAGGAAAAACACTCTCTCGAAATATCCTTTGCATTGTTTTTCTAAAAACTGTTAGGAAACCCGTGAACAGGTAATATAAATTAACAAAAAACAAAAAGTCTTTTATCAGCTCAGTAAACAAAAATCGATTTTTCCATTGAAATGTCAGCTTTAAATATTACCCCCCCCCCCCCGGCAATCTCGGTTTAATTGAAAAATTTAAAAAGTTTCAGAAAATATTCTTTTTTTTGGTTTGTATAAAAATCATATTAAACTTGCACAAATATGTTAAATATTTACACAGAAAAAAGTTGTGTGCCCTTTTATTTTATCTAGATTTTTTTTTGCAATGTAGTTATGAACATTTTGGCCTTTCGAAACATGTATGTATTAGTGATAGGCGAAGTTTTATTCCTAATTTTTTTGGGTTGTTGAACAATCTTTATAAAATTATTTACAAATAAAATTGGTTTGATCCTATTTTTATTTAAATGTTTCACCTTAAACAAATGACTGTTGAGTTTAGTCTTCTGTATTAGTAAGAGCAACAATTTTAGTTATTCTTCTGATCATTTCCTCAGCAGGAACGGGAAGCAAAAGCACCTCCTGAACTTTTCCAAGATTGTCATTTGCAGTCTCCTTATCCTCTCCCTCCCTAGCATCAGAAACATGATGAAGAATCTTGTTAAGTGTTCTGGAGCTGTCATTATTGTTCTCTCCTTTTACATTTAAAGATGCAGTAACTTCATTTATGACAAATTTAACAAATTCATTTTTACTGCTTTCCTGATCTATCTCGTATAGAGAAATCTCCATTAACCTGTTAAGCTTTTCAGTAATTTTTGATTCCAACGTTTTAGTTTCGTTGAATCGCTGAAATATTGGATTTGAAGTGCAACCTTCAGAATTACTTCTGGAATCCTCTGAAATGTCATCATCCGATTCCACGTCTTGATCAAAACTTGTTAGAGCAAATAGGTTTACATTTTTATGTGTTTGGACTTGTACTTCATTATTTAATTCATGCTTTGGATCAATAGAAGGGATTATTGTGAGATTATGCTGATTTTCTTCTATTTCAATTGGGCAGAGGTCAGGCATGTTTTCAGAACAAACACTTTCAGTTCTATCTCTTTTTTCAAAGTGTTTATTATCTTTAGGATTATTTTGCCAAGGAGGCTCTTTAGATATTTCTAACGATGCCGCACTGTTTTCTATATTAACATCATCAACTGCAATTTCTGTATCTTCAATTTGTTCATTTAAATTCTCAGTCTTAGCTTTTTCCTTTAATATCTTCGAAACAATACTATTTTTATCATCAATCATTGATTTTTTCTTCATTTTCACAGATCTATATTCATCAGTGTCTTTAATCACTTCTGTAAAGCTTCGATGAAGAGAAAACTTTTTCTGTTTAATATCTAGTTCTGCATGAGAAATAGGTGATGTATCGAGGAGGACTTTCCTCTCAAGCGTATTTTGAATCTTCGACTCGTCTTGCTTTGATTCAGATTCTTCAGCTTGTTCTTTCAAGTCCTCTGAAAGTGAATCGAACACAGACCCATCTGATGTTCCTCGCCTGGTTCTAGAGCCTGAGCTAACTCTTGTAAACCTTTTCACCTTTCTGCTCTCTTTGTTACGTTCTATACGAGGTGGGCTTTGAACCCCCATTTCTAGATGCTTTTTATTTACAGAGTTCGAATTGTAATGTATTTTTGATTTAGGCTCAGGAGATAAAAATGTCACATGAACCCCTTCTTTGCTCCGACCCCTACTTCTGGATCTGGAATTTTCTTCTGTTTGAGAATGCTTCGGTTTGTTCTCTGCAAAATATTGCAAACCTTCCAGATGTAACATATCTAAAACATCCTCTGCTGATCCAGCTTCTACTAGGATATTCAAAACTGTTCTTACTTTTCTCTGCAGGGTTTCATTGTTTTCATATCCTGGTGCATCACAAAACATCTTTATATTTTTATTAATAATATCTATAACATTGTCATCAGCTTCTGCTAAACTTTGGGAAAAATCTTTGTTAATAAGAGACTCCAAGTTTGTGATTTCTTTCGTAAATTTATCCAGATTCATCTTTCTCAGTGTCATCACAACCTCAACAACATCAACCGATGTTCCCAGTACGTTAAGAACTTGTCTCACCAACTGTTGATACTTGGTTTCTGTCTGGAATATAGGAGAATGTAGAAGAGCTTGTATATTCTTGTTGATATTATGAAGAATTTCTTCACACTCCTCCTTATCTAATTCAAGACTATTTACGTGTGAGGCCTCTGCGCCTGTATTTGTGATCAAATCTGCTGAAGCCTGTGTAAACTGAGTTGAAACAGAATTTACACAAATTGACTCATTTCCCTGGCCTGATGCCAGGTTTATACTTTCTACATTCATTCTGACGCAAGTATCTGTATTTGGATTCAAAGTTTTCTCTTTTTCTTTTTCTAATGTAGTCTCCATATTTGAATTTTTCAGAAAGTTGGTTACAGTCTTCACTTCAGGAGTTTTCAATTTATCAGATTTAAGTACTGCTTTACTTGAGGATTTTGTTACTATTGCATATTCATATGCTTTCATGTCTGCAACGTTTTCATAAACTGTATTTCTCATAGTATTTTGTGTATTAGTCTTATCTGCTTTAGGAGTGTCTTTGCAAGTTCTCTCCACTATAATTTCTTCTGTTTTAGTATCTTCCATCAAAGTTTCAACAAAAGAAAATTCCTTTAATTCTTTTTCTTCTAATTTACTGTATTTCCCTGAACTTTTCATCATGACACTATCCTGTAATTCGAGATGGGCATCGTTTTGTGAAGGAACAACATTTTTAAAAACGAACGAAATTTTTTGTGAATGACGGTGTTGCTAAGAAAAAAAATATACGATGGGTGAACAAGTTGGATCGTTCAGAGAAATGAAAAAAACATAGTTTTTAAAAAACAAAAGAAAAAAAAACAAAAAAATTTGATATCAATCATTCAAACGAACTTGAAAAAACTATAGTTTTTTTACTGAACAAACTATTTTTGGAACAAACTGCTTGAAAAACCATAGTTTTTTACTGAACAAACTATTTTTTCCGGCAAACTTTTGAAAAAACTATCGTTTTTTACTTAACAAGCAATTTTATTGAACAAACGATTTTTTGAAGAACGAGTGAAATTAATATTTTTAAACGATTGTAAAAAACGGAACGAATAGGGTTGTTCACGGACGATGAATGAAGGAAATGAAAAAAGCCAAACATGTCCCTCTCTACCTGTAATACACTTTCCTTTGCTGTAATATCGTTCACTGAATTTAACACAAGGGCACTTTCCTTTGTTTTATTATCTGTCACTTCCACTTCAGATTCAGTTGAAGCACATTCAGTTGCTTTTGTATTGAACACTTCCACTTCAGTTTCAGTTGTAGGACATTCCTTTATTTCAGTATTGACCACTTTCACTTCAGTTTCAGATATTGTACATTCCTTTATTTCAGTATTGAACACTTCCACTTCAGGTTCAGTTGAAGCACATTCATTTGTTTCAGTATTTTCCACTTTTAGTTCAGGTTCAGCTATTGCACTTCCATTTATTTCAGTATTGACCACTTTAGTATTGAACACTTCCACTTCAGTTTCAGCTATTGCACATTCAGTTGCGTCAGTATCTCTCACCTTCACTTTAGTTGCAGTGTTTGTACATTCCTTTATTTCAGTACTGAACACTTCCACTTCAGGTTCAGTTGAAGCACATTCATTTGTTTCAGTATTTTCCACTTTTATCTTAGTTTCATCTATTGTACTTGAATTTGTTTCAGTATTGACCACTTCAGTTTTAGCTAAGCAAATTTCCTTTGGTTCAGTATTGACCATGTCCACGTCAGTTTCAGCTATGGCACTTTCCTTAAGTTTACCATTAACCATTACAGTTTCAGCTATGGTACTTATCTGTGCTTCAGTACAAACCAATTCCACTTTAGTTTCAGCAATAGCACTTTCCTGTTCTTCAGAATTGACCAATACCACTTTAGCATTAGCATTGTCAACTGTATTTTTAGCAATGGCACTTTCTTCTACAATACTTTCATCTGGTTTATTGATGCAAATTATATTAGTATCTGTGCTACTTTGCTGTGCTACACTTTCCACTGTTTTAATATTATGAACTGCACTTTTAGCTATGTAAATTTTCCCTAAAACACTTGCATTTTCATCGATATTGACTACAGTACTTTTATCTATGATACTGTCCTCTCCAACATATTTTTTGTCTCCAGTATTGTCCACTAAACATATGTTTCTTTCAGTCCCCTGAACTTTTTTTGCTTTAGTATAATCCTGCACATACTGTTGCGTGTTTTCCTGTTCTGTAATAGTTTTATCTTTTTTTTCAAATTCGAGAATAGTATTAAATCCTTTTGTAAGTTTAGTAGGGCTTAATTCTTTTGGAACATCAAAAGCTGAATGAAGTTGATAATTCTTTGGATTTGTTGAAATCTTATTATCTGGTTCATGCATCTTATTTACAAATTCCTCATCCTCTTTGCATTCAGTATTTTTTCCAAAATACATTGTATTATTTGAATTTTGACAAACTATCTCTATGCTCTCACTACCTGATGCACTAAACACCCGCACTAGCTTGGTCCCGACCTGCCGGATTGCAATGGATTGGAGGTTTCTAGCGGTCAGCTTCTGAAACAGCTGGTACTTGTTGGCACAACTTCCAACCTGGGTTAGTACATAGGAAACATTTTCCTGGATGATGTTGCTGACAGCGTACTCGGGAGATTGGGTGATCCTCATTACATTGATACTGATGAAATCCAGCATACATTCCAGTGATACATCTAAATATGGTAAACATTATCTAAAAAGGCAATTATGTATTTGCTATAATGTTTCTAAAAAATAAGTAAGTTTAAAAGGTTAATTATTTAAAAATATCATCACTGAAACATTTCTTTTTGAACAAATAATCTGTGTTAAATAAAACCTCTGTCTGAATAAGCAATAAAAGATGTAAACAACTTAGAAGTGTAAACTGAACTTTCATTTCTCATCCTTTTATCTTTAATTTACTTTGAGTGACTTTAACACCCCCCCCCCCCCAAGGAATGTTTAAAAGAATATACACCACTACAGAATAAAATTTTAAAGAATTATATTAAATCTTGTTTTTCATATTTGTGGTTTCTAATCGTGTATTAAGTGTTTATCCAGGAAAACAAATTGTGAAGA